GAGAGCTTGAGAGTGGAATTGGATTTTAATGTTGAAGGTTGCTCCGGGAGAACAGTGCATTTGGAGACGATGGTAATGGCGGAAGAAGGCATTGTTGATTTTTTTAATGGACTTCTTTTTTTTTTCTTTCTTGCTTTTGGGTTTTGGGTTTTGGATTTTGGATTTGGTTGATTAATTTAAGGTTGGGGATTGAAAGGGAGTGGGAGGGAATGGAAGCTTATATAGGAGTTTGGGGGAAGTGGCTGAAACTCATTGCACTTTGAGTCCTTGTTGGACCCATTGCTGCTGCCTGGTGGTTACCTTCTATCTCTCTCTACTTTATTCATATAAAAAAAAATTACCATAACCGTCCATCCCGATACCTATCATCTCAGAAGTTAGATTGTTCAATCGCTCGTCCCAACAATAAATATGCTTTCAAGTTCTCCAAGAAATGAAGCATAGGACACAGTCACTACGAAAAAACCTCAAGTTTATATTGATCCTGAATTGATAATAAATTTTTCGTTGTTTCTAAAGATTGATTGAAGGTTTGAATCCTATTCCAAGAGATTTAAGAAATAAAATTTTTAATCACAACCAAGGTAGAGATAATCCAAGAGGTGAGTATTATATAATAATGGTTAGTATGAGATTGAACGTGTGGACTAATAAGTATTAAGTATTGTTTAATGATTAATTTGAAGGTGACGATGAGGTGGCGAGAACGGAAGCTAGTCAGAGGGGCGACTGAGGTTGTAGAAGGACACGTGGATTCTTGGTCAGGCAAACAACACTAAAAAGCATGAGAAATCTCATCCCTTCTCTGACAAAAAAGTTAATCTTGATGTTTGGGCTTTAATTTTCTTAGTTTTATTTTTGTGAGAATTATAAAATATGTGGTTGAATCTTTTAAAAGGTATATATTCACTGGTATTTGTTTTTATTGGTTGTAAATAAAATGGCTAATGCTTTCTCTCACAATTGGTAAATAATTAAATAATATTTCCTCTCACAATTTAGATGTTTACGGCATGTATCTTCTTACTTACTATTATTTAAAAAATTGATAAATAAGAAAAATAAATACATAAAAGAAGATAGAAAATAGAATAAATAGTTGTACATTTTTAATAGCATTTTTTATTCAATAATGAACACTTAATAAGTTCATCTTTAGATTACTGAAGTTGCAGTTAGATATAATTGAAAAATTTTAAGTAAATCCATCAAAATTTTTATTTGCCTTTTAATTTTACTCCAACTATAATTAGTTATTCGGAAAAGAAATGGAGAAAATTTTATCATAGATCTTTTAATCAAGTTGGAATTAAAGGATAATAATGCTTACGTATTTTATTTTGTATCTATGCTCTAATGACAAAATATATGGCTCTTAATGAGTAGAGCCATCAATTACTTTGAATAAAGACAATATGTAAAATAAACTATTGAATAATCTAAAATAGATGTCTAAATTAATCGAGTTAAGTTTAGACTGACTACTTAATTTCTTTTATAGGGGTATCAACTCAACTCAAATTCCGTTTGAAAAAAATCTCGAACATACTCATTCTTCTTCGTTACTTTATTTTTGGTTCTAGGCACTTTCTTTTAACCAATCTCTGG